ATATCTGGTACTGCTGCTGGATTACTGTTGAGGGTACTGTCATATACTTTTTCTTCCCAGAAACCTCTGGGCGTACTCTTGAGGAATTATCTTTCTGTAAGTCTCTTTGAATCCCTTCATGCTCACCATATAAATCTGCATGCATACTGATGATGGATCTCGATAAATAGTGTTCGAAGGTGATGATGTCAGGGCCGAGGTTACGCAAAAGGTGGCGAAGCAGATTGGAGAGCTTGAACATCATGAGACTGTCGTTGGCAAAGATCACTCGGTTGATAAAGTCTAGAAGTGTATTTGGGGGATGACCTAGCCGGATGGATTAGCCAAGCTACCGCAAAAAGGCATGCTAGCTTTATGAATTTCATATCTATTTTTTTTTAATTCTTGTGTTACCAAAAAAATATAGCCGCTGGGCACCAGTGGGTTGATCTGGGCAAAACCATTCGTCCATGGTGGCTGTGTGCTGTAATCTACTGAACACATTCTGTAGTTCTCATCCTCGATATGAAAGTGACCATGATGGTCCAATATATTCTGGTGGTGGTTTAGTCCGACAAAATTATAATTACTCGAATTTATGTGACAAAAAATTAGTCTCCCAACGTTAACCACTAGCTGTCTAGTACTGTGCATATCGAAGTAATTAAGCAATGGCTACATGCGCACCTTGCTAGTAACTGGGTGAGGGATAATAAATAAATCAAATGACAATAGGAACTTCTATTTGAATGATATATACCTACATTTATGGTATATATCAGAGTTTGAGGGATCAAAGGTTCACCGTGAATCATTCGTATCGATGTCAAGGGGGTGCCAAGGCTCGAGTGATGGGTCATGATTCACATGGTTACATGTAGTGAAGACTCCCGCACTTATTTTTGTGCCGCTGTAGAGGTGAGAGATTGATCGTGATCTAGTTTTGGGAAAGGAATTGGTAACGGTCATCGTCTGCCGATCGTTTGAAACCTATATCACGATTCCAATGCTTGTTACAAGTTAAGCGTGGGCACGAAACGAAACCTCATCTAGAGTTTTTGGGTAAGTTAGGACGAGACCATGTAAAGATGTAATGCAAAGCCCCGAGAGTTTCTTTGGAAGAAAAATTACCTTTATTAATCCCTAAACCAACTATATTAATTGTCACGCCACGTTATTGTGTTCACAACTCTATCCTTCTCGACGAACGAATAAAACCGTGATTGGCTATTTTAAAGCAATGAACCGACTCACTTATAATGATGGATTATGATGAAGAGCATTACAAGAACTAAGTTAAAGATTGCCTCATCAAAACACCTACATGTACGTATCTGCTGCCGCCACCGCTCACTCATATTTGTCCTTTACTAAGCTAATACGACTAGCGTACGCACAACGTTAATTTTTATGTAACACTAGTATTCTTAGCATCGCGAATAATACAGGCGTGATATCTTTCGATCTTGCATCATGATCAATACAGACATCTTTTCAGCTACGAATTGGTTTCATCGGTGTGATGAGTGACCAGGAGTCTTGGGACCGGGGACGAGATATCTCTTGCCTTCTGATCAGATAGATCTGAACAAGCTCGTGCTGCTCCAGACTCAAGCTCCGGGTCGTCCTGTATCCCTAGGTCAGTCATTTCTAACCCCTTTTCCGCATACACGTGGTGCTAACCTTCGTCTATCATCAGGCTATGTATAGTCAACACATGTTTTCGGTCCCGGCCATATCCTTATATCGAGAGGCGACTGTATTTCCGATCAAATCAGTCCAGTCCACTGGATGATCCGCTAGTACGGAGGATTGGTTTTATCCTCAAGATTGATACCCCATCTTGTTTATGTTTCATCAGGTGATGTACACTGTTCTTGAACTGATGGAGACAACCGCCTAGATTGATCCTGAACTGAGTCGTTGCTAATTCCCTCTCCAGTGCACCTTTTATCCGCTTTCATCACTCTTGCCTTGGGATCAGATGGATCTAGATAAGCTCGTGCTACTCCGGCCTTAGTCAAACTCCGGGTCCCTCAACAGTGTTCATCTCAACAACTGCCTAGTTCCAGCGGCCGGATACAAACCTAAAGGTCAGCAGTTGGCACTAGGATCTGTACTCGCCCGAAAATCCCCACTCGTCATTATACTGGGAACAGGAGAAGGAAAGTCGATTTTATTTATGGCATTAGCAATCTAGCCCAATAATGGCACCATAGTTGTAGTAATACCCTATTTCCTTGGGGGAGGATCTAGACCGAAGATCAAAAGAGGTAAAAACACTTTAAATATAACAAAATTAATTAGCTAACTGGATTACTATAGTTAAGGCTGGATTCATATCTATAGAAGAAGATTCCAATTTCCGAATACAAATTAATATATGTAACAATTGAGGCAACTCAAAAAACCCATTTAAACAATACTTATGTTGGGAATCGATTCCCTATGCCAATTGGAGCGGTTAAGTCCTTTCTGTTTCCTTCCTAGTGGGGGCGGGTCGAGGGTGGGGCAGGTATATTCTCTTGAGGGAGAAGATCTAATAGAGGGAGCGGTACCCCTTCTCTTTCCCCCTCTCTCCTCATCCGCATACCTGCCCCTTCTACTACCTTTTCTTTCCCACCCACCCTCGCCTTGTTATCGTGTTTGCTTTACTATTTTTCTTTCTTTGCTTGGATATGGCGCTTGTGGCTATCTCTGAGATCTGGTAGTAGTTCCGGCAGCTGTCAGGGGACGACAGGCCTGGCTGCAGTTTTAGTTTGCACACTTGGAGGATAAAAGTCATTTCAGTCATTTCCAGTCATTTCCTTACTATCTTCATTCCTGTACTGTTTCAAACAGACGTATTCTTCGCGATTTGCTATTTCTCTCTGTTGACCGCTCTCAATTAGACGGATACTTGAATCCAAATGAAAATTGGAAAATATATTTTTCGACGAATGCCACCAAATTATTAACAATAAAGAATTCCATCCAACCTATAATAATATTAAACAATTCAAGAAACTATCGATTCCATCAATATACATGATAGCAACACTCCCAACATATATGGAGGGAGAGTTAAAACCATAACAGGTATTGAAGATTTCACGGTAATGAGAAGTGGAACAAATCGCGAGAACATCAGGTATCAAGCACAGAAGGTTACCGAGCTCAAGCCTGCCGTGAAAGAGCCATTATCTATTGTCAACCTATCGAACAGGTAGAGGTAATATCTCTAGCACTGAAATATTCCAAGTATTATAGTCAATATCGAATTAAAATAGGATTTTTCGACAGATTGAACCGAACAAGTCCAGTGGAAGATCCGGTAGTACGGAGGATTAGTTTCAAGCCCAAGGGTGGTACCCTACCTGGGTAAGTACACTATTCTTGAACTCTTATGAAGTTCCCTCTTCAGTGCACGCTTTCCCCTCTTCCAGAGCTCTTGCCTTGGAATCGGATAGATCTGAAATTCGTTCTACTCCAGAGTCAGAGTCTAGTATTCTCCATGAGACGAGAAGTATTTCAGTCTTGTCGAACAGCTCGATACCAAATATTTTGGCCTCCAGACCGGACGAACAGAAAAAACATTTTCCTCCTCCACTCCCATTTCTTATTCCCAGACACGAAACCCGCTTCAAACGACGCAATTACCGTAACCCTTAAAACAATAATTACTATCGCCAAAGAAATAACCAAGATGCTCGAAGAGTATAAAGACCACGACGAGTACGTAACTTCATTGAAAAGCGCTATCGAATCCCAAATAGAAATGGTGTGAACGATTAAAAAAACTTAAAATATATTATCCCAGATGAGATCGCGATAAAATACCCTATCATTGCAGACTGTTTCTGTCATTTGTAAGTACAATTAAAACACTTATATTTAAAACAATTTTGTCAAAGCGTTTCATTTCTTCTTTTTGGCTTTTCTTCTAAATACATTCGTCTATTCCTTGTTTCGCCGCATTCCCCTTATACCTAATAGGGTCTTTTTTTCTCTTCATTTTTTTTTTTTTTTTTTCACTTAGCTAGAAACAATTCCGGGACGAGCCGCGAGGCTCGCATTCCTGTTAAAGCAAACAAAGAAGTTGATTTCAAAGTTGAAGACGAAAGAGCTCTACGGTAAAGCATTGAAAATGAGGTTGGGACAGCTAAAAAAAGCCTCAGATCAGGTAAAATCGAAAATAAATAACCTTTTCCAACTAGAAACTCCGATCAAGACAATCAGAGACATTGTTGGCCATATCAGAAAGTCTTGATGCTTCAGTAAGACTGACCCGTATGTATTATTAGCAAGTGCAACATAAACCCCAAAGTACAAGACGAGATATGGTTGTTCTCTAGTCTCGTCCCTTCTTTCTTCACTTTTAATCTCTCACAACTACAAGTCCGCCAAATATATCGTGTCTAAGCAGATATTCTGCTGCTTGAAAACGATATAAAAGTCATATATATACTTAACAGCTAAATGCTAATTCGTGAATAAACGAATTAAACTCAGCGGCATGCAGGAACCGAGTGAGCTCTGGTGAAGTAATTCTAATTATGTAGGCATGGTGACTTTGTAATCGAGTGATAGTTCGTGCCGGATCCCGACCCCTAGTTTTTTGTTTTTGTTTAATTCATTAATTCCGACCCCTAGTTAGGCCCGACAATTTAAGAGAAACTCGGTATGATACTATTTTCATGTGCGAGCGGCTCCACGCTAAAGAGTGGGTTTTAAGGATTGCGCTAATGCTCTTTCTTAATCTTTGAATATGGACGTTCAACAGTTTACTTGAAAACGAAACGGGAACCTTAAAGACCGAGGACTACCATACTATGGAGTTTCAAGTCCGAGAAAAATTTCTATGAACCCACCATAAAGTGACATGAATAAATACACCGCTTGCCCTCCCAAGAACAAACTCCGGTAAACATTCATTCGACCCCAGCCCACCCCACACCAACTAGCTAGGTATCATTACATCGACAACCACTATCATTACACAAACAACCACAACGTCCACAAACATCAAAGCACACATCAATATGAGATTCCTCATCACCCTCGCAACAATAGTTACTGTTGTCTCTGCCTACTGCAACGACTTCCGCCTCCGCGTCGCCCACGACGCCAACCAGGGCCTCCTCAGCGGGCAATACCTCACCAACCAGACCGTCAACTCTAACGCTACGATCAGCACCAAATTCAACACTGCCATCACTGCCAAATTCGTGATCGCGTTGAATAGCACTGAACTCCTTATTCCTGGATATGACAGGATGTGTGTTATGCCCAACGGAAGAGTTGGGTTCGAGTGTGTTGGTGCGCAGGTGTGTATATCAATCTAGCCTCTTCCGATATATAGAGAAAGTGTAGTTATTAACAATGAGTGTACAGGGAACTCCGACTGGATGGAAATTCAAGCAGCACGAACTCGGGAAGATCCTAGTTCATGGAGACGCAGAAGATGAGGGATGGGTAGCGGCGCAGAGGTTCCTTGAGGGTGTGGTTGAGGACGCGGAGCCGGCGTGGGAAGTTTATTGGGGAAAAGAGGGAGTCAGTGGGCCTAATATGGAGGGACATAGCTTTAAGGTCGTTCAGGAGTGCGTTTAATGCACAGCTGGGGGAGTTGTTAACGCGCGGGGCTGGGGGTTTTCTTTTGTGGGTTTGATTTTCCAACTTTGACGGTACTATACTAGTGCGTGCTTCTTTCAAGAGCGTTTTTGTCTATGAGGCGTCTATATAGTTATTATAATAACAAATTTCTTGATTATAAAGTTCAGCGAAGTGAAAGAATTATTCAGAGCGTGGGATCGGGAGAGTACCAGTGTGTTTAAAGTGAGGTTTGTTAGCGTGAACCTGTACGTACGCTGGCAGTCAAGATACATGTAGATAATGGCTGGACTATTGAGCGGGTGCTTGCAGTAGCTGTTTAATTGTTACATCGCTCGGGCTAGGTTGTTTCAGTTTCTAAACTAGCTTGGCAATATTTGGTGGGCAGCGGCCAGAAATCGGAACTTAACCCCCACCGAGTACATACATTTCTCCTTTTTTAAAGCTAGCTTGGCAATACTTGATGCTAGGAGCACGGCCCGAATCGGGGTCGGAAATACAATTCTCCGCCCTCAACCGGCAACGTCATCTTCTCTTCGCCACCTTTGCTCCCATGGTCACTACCGAATCTTCATCTACTCTACTTCTTATCCTCCCATCGACCAACATCCCTCCACCTCCATCACTAATGAGATGGACTCATCTCCAGTTGACGTTTCTCCTACCAATTTTTAACTTGGGTCATTTGGTTCAGACTAATCAGAAATGCTTCTCTAAGGACGTCATGAATATCCACATTACCAGGAAGCATTGCATTGCAAAAAGGGCGGGTACTCAAAAAGAAAGACTGCCTGACCCCAGCAGACAGCATGCACAGAGTTCATTTCAATCTTTCCACCTCATTTCCCCGTTCATGTTGGCCGCAGTCGAGGGAGCTTCAATTCTATCTTGTATTGGGCGGTAGCCAGTCCACTCCTAAGAGGGGAGTATAGTATCTTCAACCAACAGTAAATAATATCGGTCACCGGCAAAGAAGTCTCTTTTGGAGGCCTTGATGTGTAATATTGAACCGACTCGTATTGCCTCTCGCAGGCCTGTTTACCTCATAAGCTCTGAACACTTCGTCAGCATATATATTTATTCAAAGATCACTGCTGTGGGTCCTCGGCCGTGTAACGGCCGAGTACACTATTCTGCCCCTTGTTCAATAAGCGTACGGGAAACAAGCCTTAACCACAACTTGGGCTATCTTTACCTACAGATTATTGAACCCGTGGAGATGGGAAACGTCACCTCAAACAGTCAAGATTTTAAGACAGCTCGGCTCATCAACCACGAATCAATGAACCGGTGATTGGCGGGGCATTCCAGTTTATTTCCTTTCCGGGGCAAAAGGTCCGCTCATGAAACTTCCCGAGTGGATTGACTTCTTGAGTGGGCCGGAATAGATAATCTTTTTTTCGAATTGTAGATCGGACTACTGAACGGTGTGCTCTCGAATGAGGGTGTTTTCCAGTGTCATGCATCCGTGATGTGGTTCCTTCCACAACCACGGTTCATCATGTTAAAGCCGATGGCGTTCTAGCTTGATTTATCGATAAACGTACCCACTGCTTGATCGTTGATATCGCAGACCCTGACGTAACGGAATGGATCTGCATTCCAGTAATAACTTTACTACTGGAGTTGTCGTTGACTGCACCTCTGCCAGTAAACCTTCTTTGCCATAGACACCTATCACACCACACCACCAGATCACGATGCGCCTATCAAGCTCCAAAGCTATAGATTCGACGGTGTAACATGAGTAATGTGAATAATCATTCAACGTACTCTTCTGCGCATGGGCATTTCTTACAATGAAGAACTCGTGTCATGTCAGCCTTATGCATCGTCAGCGCAGTCTCCATAAAGTGCCGGGTTACGAATTACCCCTACCCACACCGCACCTGCAGGAAATAAGCTTTCAATTACCACTCTCAACGTTTCCAAGATACACAGCATTAATTCATACGCCGAGCCAGTAATTAAACCACAGAACCAGTCGTCGGTCCTACAGTACATGTTGCTCCACAGATACGAAACTGCCTCATCTTCAGCCCCAACCCAACAGATGACACTATATGAAACGAAACTGCTTCAACCAACAGAGAGTATCTCGGCCGTTCCGAGAGAAATTTCTAGAGAAAAAAAGTACCTATATTATATAATAAATCAAGATGCAAGAGAAGGGAAAGGATGCACCCTGCGTCCTTCCCTTCCCTGTACTGCAGCTGCTTCATGCTTGAGCTAGAGTTACGTTATCCCAGGCTGATCATTTACAATGCAATGGCTATGCGCGCATTCACCCATCTCGTCCTCCTCCTCCCCAAAAAAATCAAGAAAACCTAAATAACCCCTGTAAAAACATAGGAAAAAAATAAGACAAGAAAAGGAACCCTTTTGTACAAAATGAAAAGTTATAAAAAAAAAAACACCGATACCGATAACTGCAGGAGACTAGGCCGCCTCAACCGCGTTACAAAAACCATCCCAGTACCAACCCTCCAATGATCACGGTGAGCATTGTGTTCTTATCAATAAGCGAATTGGCCATGGCTCCAGACCGGGTAGTATACACCATGTTGAACCCGATAGTCGACGAATTCTGGCACATTCCCTCTGGCATCGGGTCCGCATCTTCTGGGTTCACAAACGTGATATCCGCACACTAACCAGCTATCGTCAGCACATGACACATCTCGCACCGCCCAACGCGCGGACACTTACATTGTACAACGACGCTCCATGTAGTGCGACCTGAATCACCTGGATTGTCGCATTATCGCCGACCTTAACACTCGCGTTCGTCGGCAGTGGGACCTGTGTCAGACAGAAGCTGCCCGGGTATGGATTCTTGCTCGGCCCCGTCATCTGGAATACTGGCAACATGATGTTCGTCATGTTCGGTGGTGTTGATCCAAAACCCATATTGACATAGAAGAACGCTGTCGGATGCCCGGCATTCCATCCTGGAATAATCGAGATATCACCACCAGTTATCGGCCAGTTGGTACGATTGTTGGTTGTTGGAACACCGGCGCCTATTATGTTGTTAATTGTGGGGGGTCGAAGAAGGAGAATGGAGAAGAGAGCGTACAGGGATAGTTCCATTGCATATCATCTTTGAGAGTGTTACCGCGCCACGAAGGATATTGAATCTGGAAATGTGCTGTTGCGAGTTGGAGCGTCGACAGTACTGTTACTAGTGCCAGCTTCCATGATGAGGATGATGTTGAAAACATATTTGATGGATTGGTATGTGAGACTTTGATCTTCCTCCTAGTGGCCAGCCAATTTTTTTGTCGAAGATACTACGGCAGTATTCGAGTAGCTTTGGTGGTGGTTGCTGCCGAAAAACGTCACTTGAGGTCGTTGAATATCTATCAATAAGACCAGGAACTTGAGAAAGAAAGAAGAGAAGGAGGAGAAATGGTGGGAGGAGGGGAGGGAGGGTGCGCCAATATGTATGTTGTGTGTGAGTAGGGGGAGTAGGTAATAGGAGGGAGGCGAATCGAATCGTGACTGGAGGCGGCATTATTAGAGGGGGAGGGCAGATCTTGCTTGTAATGAAGTGAACTGGCATGGGCTAGATTTTAGTGATCAAGGGTATGCACCTACTCCCCTTCTTTACGAGGTCTACAATTACTGTGCTCTAACTACAGTAAACACCCACAATCTTGGTATTCGCATTCGACAGAATTAAGAATCAATCTTTGTCTGCCTGTCCGTCTGTCTGCAAGTTACAGTCTTCATAGCCACACGAATACGTAGGTGTTATTGTGAAGGCCCGAGTCTTCTCAGTCTCAGTGCCAACCCATCGATCAACCAACCATTCACCACTCACTACTCCTGGGGTGGCGCTGACTGGAAATCTTTCCCATACTCGGATCGAACCAATCAACCCAATACCGAGAAAAACGAGAGAGAGAACTGATCCGTATCGCCGTAATTAGATACCACTCTCCTCTTCCTCATCCTCCAACAACAACCGGTAGAATTGGAGGGCGAGAGGGAGTAATAGTAGACCCACATATGCCCCCATCCTACAACTCCTCTACGCGCCGGGACTAGAGCAAGCGGCTGATCTCCATCATCCCCGCGACGCATTATGATAGGTCGGACTGTGCCTGGGACCCCTGTTCTTGGCGTTGAGATGCATCTGCCTAGTTTAGGTGTGGGATCGCTTGGAGAGACGTGCATGGCGGTGCAAGCAATTTTCAGCAGGGAGATACTTTGCGTTTGCGGTGCCTCTGCTAGTACTAAAGTGAGAGACAATTTGAAGTGCAAGTATCTTCTATTTCTACAGTGAGTATCCCGAAAGTCTTATGAACAAAAACGAAACCAACTGTAGTTATGTACCAGTTTAAAAGTACTTGATGTAGGTACTCTAAAGCCTTACCATCTACTGCGATGAACTTCACGAACGATCGGGACTTTACCCTCTATATCCTTGAAATGCTCATATGCTTGTTCGGCTGTAAGCTTTCCCGGCTGGCCAGGTACTCTACTCTATGCACTCTATAGTAGAAGGAAAGTAGTACTACTAGCACATACAATTACCCGCGCCGTACGCTCGCTTGACCCGTGTGTGCTTACTCAAGATCACAAAACACGAGATGGTGGAATCATTTCCATCGTTTCCAGCTACGTTAAAGCTTTTAGCGGTGGAGGTGAATGGTGGAGGCAAGGGACGGTGGTGCCGAACCGAGACGACACTAACTGTTAACTCTAACGTTAACCTTCGGCCCGACCCTGGGCCCTGTTGACTTCGATCAGGGTCCTTGAAGCGACATCGTAACACGCGTGCGGCGGTTACAGCCCTGCGTTGCCTGTTGTTAACTCTAGTGCGAGTGATAAATCACCAGATTTCGAGCCCTTAAAACTCACCGGAATAATGCGAAAAAATATAAGCTTCTTAGATATATCCTCCGATGAGAAAAAAAAAAGATGTCCCACGCCGTTGAAAGCTTGGGCCACCACATGATATGGCGCCATCAGCCAACAGAACTGCTGCTGCCCGTGGTACCTACACACACAAGCGCCCACACTGATGTTGTACCTGCATAACATGGTGGGATGATGCTGGAGACGGTGGTTTTATGTAGATCCAGAATTCGGCCGGAAGTCCTTAGGACCTTGGCGAGGATGGGTTTCCTTTCTTTCTGTAAAGAATTCGAGCTCGTTTATTTGTTTCCGAGCGCTGGTCGGTATCTGCGGCGGTAGGTGTGTCGTGGGGTACATACAGAGGGCATGAGCATGAGTGAGCGTGGATGATGCTGGGAGCTCACGTATCCATGTGTACAAACTCTACCCCACATACATACATCTACATACATGCCGTAGTAGAGTACAGAACCTACATTGTTTCTGAAGAATCAGCATGACGATGGGGAGAAGCATAAGTGCGGCGAGGAAGCATATGTCTCTTACCACGTACTCTCATCCACTACTGTACATACTGTACTCTTCGATGCCATGTATATAATCTACTATTAATACCACCCTCCAAAGTGCACTTCCTTCCCTCCGCCTTCCATCACATTGATCATGCCGGTTATTATAATTATACTACTGCCCAGCCTTTCAATTCCTCACACCCATACACACTAAAAAACACGTTGGGGAAACATTGACACTGCCGGCAATAAGCGATCGGTGCTATATGACGCTATATATAAGCTCCCCGCGATATATAGAACAGCACCGATATATACATCACATCACGATACATACATATATTCCTCACACATGTATGCGTGGGTATGGCCTACATATATACTCTATCCAATCAGTGAGTGGGGTGGGGCCTAATATAAGAAACCCACTCACATATATCACAAACCCGATATCGATCAATATCAGTGGCAGTGGCACAGAAACGAGAATCACACACAGAGTAACAAAAAAAGCTTAAATGTATTCCGCCCTACCAACTATGCATGGCACCGACATAATTAGAAATCATTATTCCCCGAGACCAGACAGAGCTGGTTGGTGATTTGAGTTGAGGTGAGGTGAGGTTGGGTGGCAGTAACACCACGCGTTTGCAAGCGCCGGGAACTGAAACTGTGGGTGGAGGGCCTGTCATTGTCTACCAACAGAACTCAACTGCATGCCATCCCGAGAACGTGGGAGGAGGGCGTGAGTGGTTGTGGTAGCGAGTGTCAGTGAAAGGACTAGCTAGGTATGTATGTGGGTAGGTAGTAAGGCTGGCTTGAATGGTGATTTGCTATTAATAACGTTCAATGTGGGGGCAAAGGAATTCGAAGTGGGGAGACGAGATCGTGGGAGCTTTGACAGGAGGGGTGGGCCATGGGGCTCTTGCTGTAGCTGTAGGTAAGTAGCTGTACATGTAGGGGGGTTGGATCTGTTCTTGCAATTGGCGTTTGGAATAGCGGTTTTGAAGCTGATTGCAGTACTGGGTGACTGTTACTAGCTCGAGGTACTGGTGCATCCAACATCTTGTACAATTGTCCTTGCAGGTACAGTAGTCTCACGATTGAAACTTTACGGCAGGCCAGGCGGGGCAGTCACATGACGGCCATGTGCATCTCCATCGAGTATCGGAGGTTTAGAGTTTCACCCGCTGAGAACTTAATCGGGGTTTCATTTATGCTCCGCATCGTATCTCAACTATTTAGTGATAAACTACTGCTGGCTTAGGTATGTGCATGCGTATCCTCACCCCCCCCCCCCAAAAAAAAAACCCAATTTCTAACCCTACCTCGATCGGAATTAAGCTATCGAGAAGAAATTCTCCGAGAGTCGTGATCACTCATATCTTGAACAGACAGCGGAACTCCGGAGGTTTCTTTTCTTCCGGTGAGATCGATTTGTCTTGAAGCTTGATACAAAGCTACACGCCTTATCATCCCGTGGTTTCACTTCAGTCGCCTCCCTCAGACGCCGAGAGACAACGTATCAATGCCTAGCAGTGGATGCGTGGGATGATGCAGTATTAACTTTCTCTAGCGGTGGTGGTTGGTAGTTACGCTCGTTGTAATAGCTTTTGTAAGACTACTAGCTCAAATCGCACACCTAGTAAACACCACCCAGCACCCATCTCTGCCACCTGATTGGCCATCACCCACTCCTCCACCAACACATCAGTAGACACATGTATTTGCAATACCAAAACCAAAACCACCGCGCAAGCCACCACCACCACCACCACCACCACCACCACGCATCCGGCAGCACACTATGGCTCGCACCTCAACTCCGAGTAACCCCCCGACTCAATACCACCCACGGCAACTCCCTACTAAACCACCACCACCACCACCACCCTCTAGCTCTCAAAAGCCAATATCCAACCCTCGAAATTAACCTCCCAAAACGCCTACGTTCCAGCCCCCCCCCCTCCGCCCAGCTCTGGAACTGGCCGGCCCAAACGACCGTGCCCGCGCCAATAAATAGTTCCAAGCCTGAGGACCGTGCCACATACCACACCCCACGGAAATGATTCCCCACAGCGACTGGAGGTCTAGATCTTGGACAGACGGAATGTGCCTGGGGGTGGATTGGAGTGCTGGGTAGGTAGGTAGGTGGATTAGAGTGGTGCCTTACGTACCTATGGTATAGGCAGGGCTTGGGAGCTTAATTGCGGGATGGGTAGGGATGGGTAAGGCTAGGAAGGCAGGGAGGTAGGGAGGTAGGGAGGTAGGGAGGTAGGGAGGTAGGGAGATGGGTTATATATTAAGCTATGGAGTCTGCTCGGTGTTGGTTTTTTTTTTTTTTTTTTACAGTCTGTTGGGTACTGAATTTTTCCGTTGCTGTTTATCCCCTTCATATGATGGCCGAAACGGACGGAGATGAAACGAAACGAAAGCGCCGGTGACAGATTGATTGTTTGGTCTTTACGAGATATCGATGATACTCACAGTATACTAACTCGCACCTAGCCCTAGCTGACTAACTAACCCTACATGTAGTTTTATCTTTTAGATTTTGACTTTTGTCGATACTAATGAAATTCTCAAACCGAGAGTAATAGAGGAAGAAAAGATTAACAGAACAGATCAAAATGTGACGGAAGCATTGCTAGCTGCTGAATTTAGTGTTTTTCTAGAGCTATAGAGCCCCCTAGCTAAGCTTTGCACGTAAGCTTTTTTGCTGGTGTTGTGAGCTTTAATTCCATCTATCCCGTCTTCTTCTTCCTTCTTCCTTTTTACTTCCTACCTTTTCCTTCGTCTTCCTTCTTCCTGCTTTTTCAATCCTCCATCTTATATCTTTCACTACC